TTCCCTTTTCACTTTTCTTCTTGAGAAATTTCAAGATGCCACTGTTGGTCGTTTTGATGTAACTTAGGATTTAATTTTCGGCCTATTTCCTTTTTTGTATGCTTGTGTTGCTCCACAATCCCCGTTCAGGCCGTTTTTCTACTTATAAACAGTTCAGGGCCGGCTCTGGCCATTTGGTTTTAAGAGGATACTGTCTCTTTAAATTTCGAGGAGATGTGTGCGCATGCGTAGTAGAACCCTCCGAGGGTGGGGCCGGGGTTTCCACTAGCTCAGGCACCCATATAGTCACCAGAATGGAGGTGCGCAGACAGCAAGGGGCCAATGAACAGGTACCAAAAAAAAAGTATGTCCACACCTTTATCTCCGAGGTTCTGTCAGGCTTCCGTGGCTGCTCTGATTCTTACCCCCACTTGGTTTCACCCAAGATGGTGGCTCCTGGAGCAGCTGAGCGTTTTGAATTAGAAAGCAATGGATTTTTTGCTTCTGCTACAAATTCCCCTAGCTGTAAGCCTTCCAACCTTATAAATATTCCTTTATAATATGTGGTTCAGCATTGTGGGACCATTCCCTGAGCCTGCTTGGTCCTGTATTCTGTGTTGTTGCTGACAGAGCTCCTTAACTGCACTTCCACCCGATCCGCCATCTTGTGTGTTCTCTGTATTCTGTATTTTGAGTTGTAATCCATACTGAAGGTTTTACTCTTTGATCTTTATCAGTAATGAGAATACACAAAACTGAACCCATTTCTGTTGAGTCAATTCCAATTCATTTGTTGTTGCTAAGTGCTGTTGAGTTGGGTTAGCCTGTATAGGGTTTCCCAGGAGCGTCTGGTGAACTTCAACTGCCAACCTTCTGGTTCAAAGTGACTTTACAGTCCACCACATTAACCCACAGCACCACACCAGGACTCTGACTCATGTTGTTGTTGTTATTAAGGTCCGTTGTGTCGGTTCTGACCCATAGCAACCCTGTATGGGGTTTCTGAGGAGCAGCTGTTGAACTTGAACCACCAACCTTGCAGTTCAACCCAACTCAATGGTTTCTGAGACTGTAGTAAATCTTTATGGAGCAAAAAGCCTCATCTTCCTCCCGAGGAGCAGTTAGTGGCTTTGAACTCCCAATCTTGCAGTTAGAAGTCCAGTGTTAATCTTACAGTGCCACTACCAGAGCTCCTTGAATCAGTAACTGTTTAGCCTAATTAGAAAAAATGCATTAAGTCCTAGATTCGTTGAAATAATTATATATGTGTGTGATCAGATTGACAACAGCAACTCAAAAGTTTATGAAATCGTTTGAAAAAGGTCATTGAGAAAGATGGCATTGCTTGAAGAATGCAAACAGTGTCTCTGAATTGTCTTATGTCCTGGTGTGGTGCTACAGGATAAAGCACTGGACCTCAAGGTTGGTTGAAGTGCAAGTTCGGTGGTTCAAATCCACCAGGTGCTCCTCGGAAACCCTATACAGGAGTTGCTATAAGTCAGAATTGACTTAACAGCACTAAACAACAACAACAATGATTTTTGTGTCTATTTTCACTAAATGAATAAAAACAAATGCCACCTCAGAAAGGTGATGTGAGAAGGTCGCAGGGTTCTGGAATCTGCGTGTCCCACATGTGCCAGGGTCCTCCCCCGCAGATATTATTGGGAGAACTCTTCCAAGGTGTGTGGCCCAGGTTCTAATCTTTGAGGATATAAAAGGAGGAGGCAGCTGGGTAGCACTGGGTGGTCTTTGGGAGAAAGAGAGAACCCCACCCCAAGATAGAGCGTACAATGGCAACTTTCAAACAGAGAGCAAATGAGTTGAACATCTGGAGCTTGGTGGAAGGAAAGGAGAGTCTTGGAGAACTTGAAGCCATAGAATGTTAAAGGCTAGTGGTTCTCAAATCCCCAGGTTCTCTAATCAAGTCCTGACTGCTAAGTTCCTCCACAAAGCTTGCTTGCCCCGATGGTATCCAATTAGGAAGGGCAAGTTTCTCATCAGAGACTCGAACTCTTCCTCCATCAGGCCTGCTGGCTGAACTATGACACCTGCTGAACTGGGCATCCAGTAGCCCAACAGCAATGTGTGGGAAGGACACCCCAATCTGAGCTTTTAGCTGATAGACTGACATGTATTGATTTCCTCTGCTTCATCCCTTTTGCTTCATCCCAGCCCCCACATACTCCCCTCCCTGTGCTTGGCTGAGCCTTGCTCTCCTTCCTGCCAATGGAGTTCTTAAGAAAGCTGGGAAATATTACCGTCCTTGGCTTTGCCATTGATGAGCTGTACCATTGGACGTGGGCCTCAGTGTCCCTAACTGTAAGGGCATTCCCAAGGTCTTTTTGAGCCCTGGTCATTAAGTCTTTTGTTCTATGGAATGAACCGTCTATGAAACATGTGTTTTTTTCCTCCAAGCATCTGAATTGGGATGTTGTCTGTAGACTATTTCAACTGGTCTACAGTAGCCATCCCCACATTTCTAGACAAGACATGGCCACAGATGACCAATAGCCCTTCAGCTCACAATGATGCTTTAGTCTCCAGATGTGTTTTGAATTTTTCAGTTCTCCTCTATAACCATGCACATCCGTGGGCAACTGGCAGGACACATCTTACCTATATTTTACAGATGGGCAAAAGGAGCCCCAGGAAAGCGAAATATTTCCCCAGAGATCCGTGGCCCCTGGTGATGAATGCAGAAAGAGCTAAATGCAGAATTTCTACTAATAGAAAGAGCACCACCAGTCTGGAGCCAGGGAATCTGACCTTGAGGAAGTCACTAAATTCCCTGGGCCCTGATTTCCTGTCTATAAAGTGGCACTACTGATTAGCACACGGTCATGCAAAATAATGCAGGTGAAAGCAGTTTGTGAATGTGTACAATGCCTGTCAGCACTCACCATTAGTGGCAGCGCTGAGAACAGGCATGTAATCCACTAGTGGTTCCTGTTTCTACTGTACTGCTCCTTCTCCCAAGAGCTGAGCACACCCCAGGTTCTCTCTCTGGGTGGCAGTGTGTGGAAATTTGAGCAGGTCTCTAAGCCCCTTTGGTTCTTTCCCTGCAGACTGTAAGTTCACCTGTCACCCGGAGTGCCGCAACCTGATCCAGCTGGACTGCAGTCAGCAGGAAGGTCCTGCCCGGGACAGACCCTCTCCGGAGAGCACCCTCACCCCCACCTTCCACCAGGTAGGCATAAAAATTCTGAGGCCAGATGCCCCAAGCTCCACTTTCTCTCCAGGATGAGCAGGAGGAATATGAGGAAACAGTGTCCATGTGTGCTGAATGTTGGGGTCCCCTCTGGCCATGTGAGATACACAGAGATCTATGTTTCAAGAGGACCAGGGGATCAAACAGAGGCAGTGACATGGAGAAGTCTGTAGATGCTCAGAAGTCTCCTGCAGTCTCCCCAAAAGCAGAGCCTGCTTTTGCTAAGGGCTCTGAAGCAGACGAGGGTTCAGGTGTGTGTGGGGAGGGGTCCCCAGAGAAGATTCCTGAAGGTTCTGTGAGGCCACAGTCTGGAATCTGACAGGGGTTAATCTGACGAGGCTGCTTGCACATCGCCCGCCTGCCAGTCAGCTACCAGGCCAGCCAGCCTTCAGAGGGGCTGGCTGAATGCTGCTTCCCTGTTTTAAAGGACCAGGAAATTGAGGCACAAAGCCACTCTTGGGTTTTGCTGAGGCTGTGATGTATCTAAATTTTGATGCCTAGAGTTTGGAATGGAGACAGGGAAATGCATTTACTGATTCTTGCATAGGACAAACATTTTTGTCTTTTTTCTTTCTTTGGTTTGCCAGAGGGTCCTTTGGTAGACAGAGGGTGGTAGAGGATGGATAATCTACAATACTTCATACATGTAGTCCTCAGAAACTTTTAGTCTGACTGAGAAGGCAGAATATAACCAACTAGTATATACTGTGATGCACGTTGTCATAAATGTACAAACCAAGGCTTATGGGTACACAGAATGAGTGTTTCTTGGGGAGAAATTGTTGAGGACTTCCCAGAGGAGGTGATGTTTGCACCAGGTCTTAATGTGTGAGTCTGAGGAGTAAAGGGTGTTCTGTGACACTATCCATTCATTCATTTAACAGGTAGGTTTTGAGTGTTGACCATGTGCCAAGCCCAGGAGTGCTGGGGACTTGGCAATAAAAGGACCAGACTTGGGACGTGCCCTTACTGTGCTTACAGTAGAGTAGGAGAAGAGACTTTAAGCAAAGAAGCGTTGTGTTTATAAGGGGAAATTCCAGGGTGCTGTCAGAAACAAGATATTGGGTGACGAGTTATTACCTCAACAGGATCCAGCCCTGGGTCCCCAGAGTAGCTATCCACAGGCTTTTTCTGGTTATAATATGCATGATCAATGATGCTCAAATTCTTCACCCACCCATGAGTGGTAGCAGCCCCATGCTATCTACCCCAGACCCATTCTCTCCCACCATAAAGCATTATGAGAACAAGTATGATGCATGTATTTTTAAGGATATCATCCTGGTTCTAAAATATATACTTACAAAACAATTGTGTACATCTTTCATAGACTGTAGAATAGAAACTGGTTTGGGTGTAGCCTGAGGTAACCAGGCCTCTTGAAAAGACCTTGCTGTGAGACTGGAACCTGTCCAACTGGGGTCAGGGCCAGGGAAAGGAGAGGAGACCAATATGACTCCCACATAACTGATGAGTGCTGTCGATTTCTGCTAAAGGCTTCCTTAGAAGATGGAGGTTACATAGCACACCATATGTCAGAACTTCCTGAAAGTCTTCAACTCTGTTTTCCTTTCCCTTTGGGGACAACCACATCTCTCTCTTCTTTCAGCTTCCTCCAACCCTATCTGTTCCCCATCGTGGAGCCCTACTCTACCCCTTCTTCTCTTCCTGCGTCTCCCCTTGGGTTATCTCTGTTCTTTTTAGAACCGCAGGTATCAACTAGAGGTGGATTTGCACCCTTCAGGGCAATACAGTATCTGGAGATACCTTTGTGTATCACGACAAGGAAGGTTCTTCTGGTGGGTAGAAATCAAGGATGCTGCTAAAAATCCTACACACTGCATAGGACAGTCCCCACAACATCAGGCACAGAATAATCATAGTGTCCAGATTGGGATACCCTGTCGTGGAACAGTTTAGCCAGCTTCCAAGGGTGGTAGGAAAATGGCCCAGGGCAAGTCCTGAGTTTGCTGTAGATCCATATCACACTCAGAATGTCAGTCATCAGAAGGAGTGCTATGAGTTGAAGGGAGATATGCTTACATCGTAACCCCCAGAACCTATGAACATGACCTTGGTTGGAAACAGGGTCTTTGATGTTATCAGTTAACAAGAGGATTATCCCTACTAGAGTTGAACCAGATGCTGTTGAGTTGATTCCAAATCATGGCAACCCCAGGTGTGTCAGAGTAGAACTGAACCCAGTAGGACTTACAGTGGCTCTGATCTTTTGGAAATTGATCACCAGGCCTTTCTTCTGATCTACTGCAAAAACTCAAATTCCAATATTTCTGTTAGCAGTTGAATATGTTAACCGTATGGAGTCCTGGTGTGGCATTGTGGGTTAATGCACCAGACTGTAAAGCCATTTGAACTGCAAGGTCAGTGGTTCAAACTCACCACTGCTCCTCAGAAACCCTATACAGTGTTGCTATGGGTCAGAACTGACATGACAGCACTTAACAACAACAAGAAGCATGTTAACCGTATGCATGTCCCAGGGACCTTCTACTAGAGTAGGGTGGATCTAAATTTAACATGCTGGTATCCTTATAAAAAAAGAAGAGATACAGAGGGAAACCCAGACAGAAATCATTGTCTTTAACTGTCAGTCTGTGGTCCTCTGTGGCATCAGCTCCAGGAAACCAATACAAGTCTGAAAGCATCGTTCTCCACCCCCTTGAACTGCTGGGACAAGGAGTCCATGTTGGAACCCCTGGAAGGCAGTACCCAGGCTAGGTCTAGAGTCATCCCCTTCTGGCGTAGCACAGAGAAAGAAGCCTCAGTCTGCGTGGGTGCTGAGTGGCCCTCTGTAGGCACACAGCCCGGGGTGGGGGGTGCTTTGGGGGTTGGCTGGGCCGGTTGCTGTGTTTGCCTTGGACAGGACTGGCTGCATGCTCCAGCAGAACCTGACCAACCTAGCCTTCTATCAATAAACCACGGGCCCTGCTCCAGCCCTCGTCTTTTCTAAAAAAGCTTGTTTGTGCTAATTTCCGTCTTGGCTTGATTTTCTTCTCTATGTTGGCAGGGAGCTTTCTTTCTCCTTGACATCATCACCTTGGCAGAACTGGTCGTTTTCTGGAGTGTGTGGGGCAGGGAGGGGTTTGTGGTAGGGACCAGGGTCTGTGCTCAGCTAGTTTGGGGGGCATATAGCAGTAGCCTAGTAGGGCTGTAACAAAAAATACCACAGGCGGGGGGCTTTGAGAATAGAAATTTGTTTTCCACAGTCCTAGAGGCTCCAAGTCCAAATCAAGAAGGCTACCCCTCCTTGTCGGCGTCTTGGTGTGGCGCTGTACTGGACTGCAAGGTCAGTTTGAACTGCAAGGTTGGTGGTTCAAACTCACTGACAGCTCATTGGAAACACTTAGCAGGGTGACTATGAATCAGAACTGACTCAGTGGCATTTAACAACAAAAACAACACCGCTTCTTGTAGGTAGTTCCTTAGCATTCCTTTGCCTGTAGACAGTGTACATGATCTCTTCCCTGTGTGTGTCTGTGTCTATTTAGTCCTTTTTGAAAGAAGAGATTGGGTTTAGGACCCACCCTGCTCCAGTATGCCTCACTAACATAACAAACTAAGCCTCAGTTTTCCAAACAGAGTCTTATTTACAGGTACAAGGATGAGTACTTCAACAGACCTTGTTAAGGGACATGATCCATAAAAAGGAGTCCAACAGAGGAGTCCTGGTATAGTGCTGTAGGATGAGCACTAGCCTACTAACCACAAGGTCGGTGGTTCAAACCCACTAGTCACTCCTTGGAAACCAACTTGACGGCACTTAACAACAACAATCCCTAAGAGGAAGTCTCAGATTGATGGCATTTCTTCTCTCTACTCTTAAAGGAAAAGAACATCACTGATAGTTTCCCCTTTCCTGGAGAACTACTATGTGCTAAGGAGCTATGGTAGCATAGTGGTTACGAATCAGGCTGTTAACCTCAGGGTCAGCAGTTCAAAACTACCAGCTGTTCCATTGGAGAAAGATGAGGCATTCTGCTCCCATAAAGATATACAGCCTCAGAAACCCTGTACAGGGTCACTATGAGTCAGAACCGACTCCATGGCACATAACAACAAAACTATGTGCTAGTTTTAAAAAATATTTTCTTCCTGTACTTTTATACATTTGTCAAAACCTAGTTAAGACCACCCTGGAGATATTTGGCTTCAGTCCGTTAAAAGGAATCATATGAGAGGGCTTTACAAAGTTTGTGGAAAATGTAATGAAAAGATAGTGTAATTTTTCCATGAACTTTTTGAAACCCTCTTGTCCCAGGGTTCTGACAGTGCTCCCTCTACCACGCCAGAGGAAGACCAGGGAGGGAGGAAGGCAGGGCAGCTGTGTGAAGGGGCAGGTCTGGGCTCAGAGTCCCCCACTGCAAACTCACCAAGCCCTCCTTGCAAGTTATGCCTCTAGAAGGCTGCAGAACAGGAACGGCAGATGGCAGCTGCCTCTTGTGCCAACCACAGACCCAGCGGTCAGGGTTTTTCTCCTCAGAGCTCCCGTAGGGTTGAAGATGGCTGACATTTCCTTGGGCGCCCATTGTGAGATACAGCCAGCCTCCTTCAGCTGCTCCTTCACCTTAAGCTTAGTTACTAGAGAACAGCATGGTTATTGGTTGAAGACCATAATCAATTACCCAAAGAGCAGCAGTTGCTTTATTTTTAACTCTGTTTGGGAAGTTCCTAACATGTCACTCTGGGAGGAAAAAGCCCCCGGTGACTCCCCAGCACCCTCATTATGAACTGAGACCTCTGGGGGTTTATTCCAGGCCCTTCATTGCCTCTGGGGATGCAGACCACACTAGAGGACATCCTTGCTCTCATAAGCTGCTATAGCGCAGGGAGATCCTGGGAGTTTGGTCCGTCTGGCCGCTTTCTACCACTTTGCTCTAAACATGGAATGTATGGAGAGACAGAAATACTTCCCTTTCCACTTGTGCCTGAATGTACTTGCATCTGACAGTTTGACAGGC